ACGGTACGGTACGGACGGACGACGACGACGCGAGACGAGACGACGACGCGCGNGNGNGNGNGNGNGNGNGNGGGGGGGGGGCGGAATCGAGAGAAAGAGACCAAAAGAGTAGAGCGGACGAGAGAAAGGGCGAGAGGGAGAGGCGGGAGCCGACGACCAGGAAGATGATGACGCGCGGCGGAGTGGGCGTACTAGGCCGTGTCGACCTGAACACCGTCGTGCAACGTCGAGAGCATCGCGTCGGGCAAGATGAGGGCCTCGAGCGCCTCTCCCGCATAACCCGGGAGAGAGCCGTCCGACGGCATAGAGGGCGACCACGATGTCTGCTGGGCACCGTCGCGGATGCGGTCTAGCAACGGCGTGTGGACGTACGAGGTGAGCGGCGCGGCGGCCAGCGATGCGGCGACGTCGTGCGAGACGAAGCTGAGCGGGCTGCTCTGCACCGGCCCGCCGACGAGGGTGGTGAACGTCGACGCCGGGCTCCACGGATCGCTAAAATTGCTCTGCACGTCCCACGACTGCGAGCGTTCCTTTGCCCTATTCGCCGCCGGATCGTGCGTGCCGTCGTCGTGCTTCAGGAGCGTCGCTGCCATTACGTCTTGCATCTCCCGAGAGTACCAGGGCTGGACCTGCATCGTCGCTGCTTGCAGCGCCACCGGAGCGCAGGGGATTTGAGGCTTGGACGGTGCTTTGCCAGGAGGGAGCGGTCCGGCCGCCGCCGCCGTGGTTGTTTCGAACGAGAGGCTTCCGCCGTGCCTTGGCCTCCACGAAGTCGATGTCGACGCCACGGACGGCGACGATAAAGACGAGGCCGAGCCCGTCTCTGACGTGGCGGGGCTCTCAGACTGCTGAAGAATTGTCGGACCAGGAACATCTACGTAAGCCCGTCTTGGTCCCTCGTTTGCGCCGCTGGGCTCTTGCGGCGGCGTGGCATTGGCGCCATCGCCATCGCCGGCTGCCGAGGCCAGGCCGCAAGAGGCCGACGTCTCACCATGATGTCGTCGTTGCTGCTGATGCTGTTGTGGTGCCGCGGCGACAGCGCCTCGCGCCTCGATCGGTCTCCCCGCCGCTGCTGCTAGGGGATCGTCGTTGGGGACGTGCTGCAGAAAGACGGGCATCATCCCGGCCCCGCCGCCCCCGACGACGAGATTCCCCGGCAGGCCGTGCGAGACTTGGGTCGCCGCGAGGCCCTGGGCGTGCGCCCTGGCCTGGGCCGCGGCAGCGAGGGCGGCGGCGGCTGTCTGCTTCTTCTTTTCCTCGCGCGCCATCTTCTTTTCGCGCAGCTTGGCATTCTCCTCTGGCGACACGGCGGCGTAGACGCAGGCCGTCTTGAAGTGCAGGCAGGTGCCGCAGGGCATGTCGCCCGTGCACTTGATCTTCCTGTTAGGATGTCAATAGAAACGCATCAGGTGATAAAGCACGAGGAGCCGGGGACCAGGAGCGGCGTCAGCACGCGGTGGATACGTGACGATGGCGCTAGCCGATGCTGCAGTCGAACCGAGTCGCGGCGGCTGTATTGACGAGCGGAACCCTCTGCTGTGCATCGCTCGCTCACCTTCGGCGGCACTTGACACATGCTGCCTTGACACGGTCTGCCTTGCTCGTCGGCGACGTCGGGGTCGAGCTGGAAGACGGCGACTCGGACGGCATGTGGACGTGCTGGCCCGTGGAAAACGACCCGCGGCTAGACGACGCCCGCCGCTGCTGTTCCTGATACTGCTGCTGCTGCGCGTGTTGGTGATGCTGTTGGTGGTGGTGGTGCTGGTGATGCTGGTGGAAGGGGAACTCCTTGGCCCGCTCGAGATGGGCGTTGTCGGCCGCGATGCTCGACTGGAGCATCTGGCTGTACGTCTGGCGAGCCGCTTCGGCCGTCGTGTAGAGCATCGAGAGGTTGGCGCCTACCTGCTGCGGGCCGCCGGCGTCGACCTGGGCGTTGCTGCCCTGGGTCCCGTGCGGTGCCATGGCGTGGGGAGGATGGGCGAACATGCTGGGCCCGAGCGAGAGCAGGTCGTTGATGTCCGTATGCCCGCCCGTCTCGGACGAGGCGGCATAGCTGGTCGTGCTCGAGTCGCTACCCCTGCTGTTGAAAGGCTGCAGGCTGAGGTCCTGCTGGACGTACTGCTCCGTGAGGTTGGGAGGCAGTTGTAAAAGCGCGGGAGCTTCGTCGCCTCCGGGCTCCATGGTGAACGAAGGGTCCTGGTCGGCAGAGGTCGGCGGAAAGCCTCTCCAGGCAGCCGATGCCCAACTGACGGGATGCAGATGCGCGGGGCTTCTTGGCCGAACGCGGGTATCCGGCTTCGCGCACACTTGTCGACGGCCGGTCTATGGCGGCCAGCCTGGGCTTCTTGGTTGAACAAGGCCAGGTGGCTTGGGGATGCAGGCCAAGAGGGATGCTTTGTTCGCGGGGGAGAGAAGCACGGTCGACAAGGCAGGCTTGGCGAGAAATGTGGGCGAGGCGGGGAATGGATGCAACAGGCAGAAGGCTGAGGAATGGGGAGGAGGGCAATGCACGGAACGACGTCGAGGAAAAGGGGGCGTCTGGAAGCCACTTCGAAGCAGGGGTGGGTCGGTCTATATGGAGAGAACAGTCCGGCGTTTCGGACCCCCCCTCACACCTTGCTTGTCCTTCGCACGCCCTCTCGCTCGCTCGTTCAGTCTGCCGCAACGTCACTCTCGGAGCGGCGCAGCTGCTGCTGCAGACGAGTCCCGGGAAGGATGGCATGATCGACTAGCTACATACAGAGAGCAAACCCGACCTTGCAGCGAGCCGCGACTGCAGGGAAGGCAGGAAAGAAGCGAGAGGCGAGAGGGAGAGGGAAAGGAGGAGGAAGAGGAAGCAAGCAACCAAGCACAGAGAACGGGCCGGGATGCGGATAAACAGAGCCACGAAGAGAGACATGATGAGGGGGAAGGGGGGAGGGGTCGACGAGTAGCGAGCGAGCTCAAAAAAACAAACCAGCAGGCAGGACCAACAGCTGGTCCAGCACCACCAACGTCAGAGCGCTGTTCCTGTGTGACAGGCCCGCCCCAAAACCTCCTCTGACCTCCTGATGCCCTAGCCTTTGACCAGCCCCCATCCCAGGCGCCATCCCGGCCTCTTCGTCCGGCCATGGAGCAGATGCTGCTGTAGGATGCAGAGCGCATACGCCGTTCATGCGACGCCGCTCACATCTGCTCAGCCCTGCGCCGCCTTCGAACTCGGCCCATCTGCCACGCTCTGCGAGATGGGTTCAATGCATCCGCTGGTTCGTTTGCTCGCTCCCATCATGCCTGCATCCCGTGGCATCGACCACGGCACCTCTGCAAGCTGTGGTCCCCCCCTCTCCCCGACGAAGTACGTTAGGCTACCAACGAGGTTCTCAGTCTAGCCAGCGTGACGTGACGTACACTATCTGTAGCGCAGAACTGGCTCGGCCATGTCCGTCGTACGTGGTGCAAGGGCGAGCGGAGCCTGTAGCTGCCGTGGGTCCGAAGCAGGGAGACCTCGTTGTCGCTCGCTCGCTCGCTGTCTTGCATTTCCGACTTGGCGCGGCGTCCGGAGGCCCAAACACTACTCTCTGCCTTGCCCAGCCTAGCAGCGTGAGCTTCCGATCTTGGCTGTGCTACTGCTGCTGCCACCACCACGAGAAGACCCACACACAAAGATACCGAGAGACAGAGGCGAGGTTGGGGATTGCGGCTACCATCGGTGGATAAGGCGTTCGTTTCATCGGTTATCGACGGTAACGTCCTGAAGAGCCTAGTGGAACACGTCAGAGAGCTACCTGCTACGGTACTCTGTACTGCTGCTGCGGTGGAAAGGCAGCGCTCGGCCGCCCGGGGGGCGATCCAGGGTTGCGTGACGGGGCGCGGCGCGGCATGGACGGGCCGTTCGCGTATCGACGATTCGTGCTATGCACGGCCCGCCCGCCCGCCCGCCGCACGAGGGATGCGCTATCAACGGCGATCAAAAACGGTTCGTGGCTTTGCATCCCGGTCGATGACATCCAGGCAGCCGATAGTTGCGGTAGGATCGGAATGGCGAGGAAAAGAGAGGGCAGAGGGGAGAGAGAGAGCCACCCACGGTGTGGTACACGGCGAGGCTCGTCCCCCCGATGCTTGGCAATGCTGGTGTATGTCTGGCGGGGAGAGAAAGTTGTTGGCCTTTGACGAGACAGGGGCGCACCGCGAGCGAGCGAGGGGCTAACGTCGGAGTCGGCTTCGGCTCGGGCTCGCAGGCAGGGCTCTACGGGTCGTGAGCGCCGATACCTCTTACGTCGATGGCAACCCCACCATCTACAGAGCCAAGCCTTGGCTTGAGGCTGTGAAGCTGGGGGATCGACCTCGATCTCTACCCTTTTTTTTCCCCAGACAGAGACAGGAGCAGTAGTAGGCCTTGTCCTTTCTCCTTTCTCCTTTCTCCTTTCTCCTTTCTCCTTTCTCCTTTGCTCTGCCCTGCTCTGCCCTGCTCTGCCCTGCTCTGCCCTGCTCTGCCCTGCTCTGCCCTGCTCTGCCCTGCTCTGCCCTGCTCTGCCCTGCTCTGCCCTGCTCTGCCCTGCGCTGTCATGCCCTGCTCTGCATCGCGGTCCAGAACTTGGAGGCCGGCTGGAAACAGCCTAGCGCAGGCACACAAAAAGGTTGCAGAACGACACCTCTGGCTGGAGCGACACCACGCGTTACGTTGCTCTCGTGGTCTCGGTTGGCGACGAGGGGTAAAGAGGCCAGGCAGAAGGGAAGTGCGGCGCGATGGAAGTCGAAGAGACAAGCAAGGTGGGGCTGTCCAGGCGGCCGGTCGGTCTACAGTGCATACCTGCTTCAGGCCTGTTTCTCTACCACGTGGCTAAACTCTTCACTGGCCCTGCGACGTCAGGGAGAGAGGAAAGGCCCGCCGTGCCCTTGTACGTACTGTCTCCTGCCTCTGAGCGAGGAGAGCCAGAGCGAGGGCCGATCTGCTGAGGAGCAGCGAGGGAATCAGGCAGGCAGGGAGCAGCAAGGTCGAGCTCGAGCTCGCGTATGCCGCCATCGGCGCTTATCTCTGCGGCTGCCGCCGAACTTGGGCCGATGGTTCGGTCAGGCGCGCCGTACAGTGCGTGGCCAGGCTAGGTGGCATAGATGCTGGGTCGTTTGCTCTGTCGGTCGGTTGGTCGGTCGTTCGGTCGAGGCGCTCCAGGGCAGTGGGCGCCGGACCTTGCCGCTGGTTTGCCTGCGTTCGGAAGTCATCCGAGGGAAGAGTCCAACGTGGTTCGGATGCATCCACGGCCGGCATATGGCCGAAGACGCGCCTCTCCCGAACACAGAAGGCGAGCGCAGCTGCCGCCCGCGGCCGGGGTAGCCTAGCCTGGCAGGCAGACAAAGAGGCAGGCAGGTACTGTAGCGGAAGGGCAGAGGGCAGATGAGCAGTCTCCAACCGTGACAGCGCATGAGCTGGCCCCGGGTGCAGGTGGAGCACGTTTTTCTGAAACCGCCTTATGGTCGTCAGACACGAGCCCGGACAGGTTAGGGCAGGACAGGGCAGGACAGGGCAGACTGAGATGGAGAGCCCAGGCTAAGGACCTGGAGCGCTGCAACCCCCGCGGCCTAGCTCTTTAGCTTGTCCTGCTGGCCTCGCTTGCAACGACGAGAGTGCGGGGCAGGCACCCCTGCCGTGGGCCGCCCACCGCCTTGACCCTCCATCTTAGATCAGATCCCGACTCAGGTTCCAAAGCCACGACCACCGCGCCGGCGTCGCCGTCATGGTTTGGAACTCAAAAGCAAGGCGAGCATGAAGGGATGATCAGGAGGAAAAACAACACGCACGTAGGCGAGCTCTTCCCTCGACCCCCAGAGTTGCCCCCCCGCAGCGTTCGGCTTCGGATCGGGCCGCGGCCCCAGCCTGCCTGGCCTCTTACTGTAGCGTGTTTGCTGCGATGCGCGGCGCAACGAGCCAGCAGCAAACGCTAAACCGCAGATGGATGGACCATGGTACGAGGCATGAATTCGTACGCCCCTTTGCCCGGCCGCCCGTCTTCCTCGCCGGCCTTGCCTCGAGGCCACCAGAGGACCGCGTGCGTGTCTAAGGAACGAGGGTGGTCCAGGCTCAGGTCGACGTACGCTTCCTGGCCCCCTCTACCCTCCCTCTGCTGCTTCGCCACCCTTCTCTGGCCGCATCGTCTTGGTGTCTGGACTTTCAGAAATCGCAGCGCTCGTCTGTCTAGAGCACGTTCGCACCTCGTCCGCACGCCTACGTCTCTCGTCCTCTGGTGCTTCGACCGAGGCAGGGCAGCCTGGGTTGGCGAAGCGGACCACGCGGTCGGGTTCCGGACCCCGCACGCAGCTGGCGTGCACAATCAGGTCTGGCTGGGGGCTCGGCGCGGTGCCGTGCGGCACTGTACGGTGCGGTGCGCTGCTCGACGGCGGCGGAGTCACGAATCATGGAACAGGGCAGCTGGTCGGGGTTTGGTTTTCGCTGCTTCGCTACGGCCAGCGCAGCAACCAATGTACATCAACTGTACGTACGGCAGCGTCCGGCGCTCCGCCCGATTGCCCTGCCTCCGGAGCCTCTCGTCAACAGACCTGGCAGGCATCCTGTGCAGCTACAAGTGCAATCACATCACATGGCCCTGCCCCCAAACATGGCTCGAAGAGCTCCTGTGCCAGACTACCTACGCGGCAGCTCGTCGTGAGCGGGACGCTGCCGCTCGAAGTCGGCTGCTCTCTTCGTTGTCCCGGAAACCAGACAACACGTCCCGTAGCCCACCCTTCGGCTCGCATCCGGAGACGAAGCAAGGCAAGGACGACGACCTGCCGCACCGTGGCTGCACGTTTGTCGGAGCCGTGTCCGCTCCCGGGGCCAACACCCTCGCCCCGCAGTCGCAATCCGCTCCGATGAGGTCACCATGGTTCGAGGGGGTTCAACCGGGCGGGACATCTTGATCAAGCGAAGATGTAGCTAGCCCTGGTAGCATCGACGATCGAGCCGCGGCTCAAAGCAACAGGAGCGAGACTTAGAGCAAAACAAGACGTCGACAAGCTAGGCGATATCGGCCAGGCACGGACGATACCGGAGAGGCGCAGCTTGTGAGCGGCTCGAGCCTAACCGCTGCGTTCCATGTTGATGTCCAGCGAGGGCGGCCAGCGGCCCAAGATGATAGGCTGAACGGAACAAGGTCTCGCCTGCTCGCACTCCTGGCGGCTGTGGGTGCGGGTACAAGGGCAGCACCACGTCCTACACGCTCGACTGCTGCTTCTGCTTCCGCCGCCGCCGCTGGACGCGCTGCTCCCGTATCGCCTAGCTGCACTGCACTGCGCTGCACACGTCGGAAGCATTGCTCGACGAGACGTGGCAGCAGCAGCAGCTCGCGGAGACGGAAGCGCGGCAAAGGCTCGCCCGCACGCAGGCAGTACTGGGCTGCTTTTGGCCCGGTCTTGCCTGTGCATTGCCTCTGCCTCGCCTCGCCGCGCCTCGCCTCGCCTTGCCCTGCCCTGCCTTTGCCTTGCCCACTCTCCCTTGCTCTCGGGTTCGGCTTCGGGTTCTCCGCCGCCCGCTGTCGCTGAGCGGAGCTGGCAACGAGCATCGTCAAAGGGGGCATGATGGTGCAAGGCACGGCGCGGCGTCGCAATGCAAAGCAAGGCAAATCAGCGCAGCGCCCAGCAGGCAGACAAGTCGACTGGCTCGAGCTGCTTGGTCGTCAGGTCGCTCAGGCAGGCCAGGCAGGCCGTGCAGCTCGCGCGAACTCGAGTGCAGCAGAGTCGACGAACCAATGACAAGAGCACGGCATGGGCGGATGTGTGTACGTCAGCAATCTTGGTCTTGGAATCAGAGATTGGGATTGAGATGGCAGTAGCAATTGGGGGCGTGTCGCGGCGGCGCTCGCCTGCACTTGCAAACCTTGGCCCAACTGATGCTCGTCTGTCACCGGCACCACGATGCTTGCTGGCCGTGGACCTGGTGTGGCTGTCGAATGTGGGCGTCGCAGCCATGGTTCGACCTCGGCCTCTCGCGTGCAGCGAGCAGGCGGGCGTGCGTGTCGGTCATGCTCCAGGCAGCTTCGAGACGCCGCACCGCGTGTCGGGCTCGACTGGCCGTTGGCGAGCCTCGCCGTGAAAGAAGGCGCCACCGTGGCGGCGAAGGCGGCGGCGGCGGCGGCGGATGCTTGGCGGCGAGGGCGGAAGGGTACCTTCATTCGTGCGAGAATTTGGGGTGCCAGACTACGATCTCGGAAGTCGGACTTTATCTGCGCCCGGACTTTTGTTGCTGGCTGTCGGGCAGCAGCTACGGCTTCTTCGAACTCGCGGGTGAACCTTCGCCTCGACATCATTCCTCCACCTTATCCTCTTTGTGCCCTCAGCCTGCTGCCCGCTCTCCACGACAGGACCCTCAACCAACGGCTGCCATCTTCCCATCATCGATCCTGCAGCGATGGCCATCACACCGTACCACGACGACGTCGTTCAGTACGGCGATGTCCAGGCCGAGGCCGGGCCCAGCACGCCCAGCTACGACCCCGAGGCGCTGGCGCTGGCACCGCACCACCTCCTCACCGCCTTTCCCGGCCTCAACGTGTGCGCGCCCATGGTCCGCTACTCTAAACTCCCCTTTCGCGCACTCGTATCCCGCTACGACTCCCACATCAACTTCACCCCCATGATCCTCGCAAAGGAGTTTAGCAGGAGCCAGGGCGCGCGCGACGCCGAAATGTCGACAAACCAGTGGGAAAGAGGCACCTACGACCTCACCCCGGGTGTCGCAGAGGCGAGCGCCAGCGCACAGCGCCTGCTCGAGCACAAGGGCAAGAGCAGAGAGGCTGATGGCGACGGCATGACGAGCGGCGAGCAGCGCAGAGAGGCTGCGGCCGACGAGGCGAAGGCGCGCAGCAAGAGGATCCGCGTCAGGGGCGCAGTGGTGACGCAGTTCGCCTCGAGCACGCCCAAACCCCTCGCCGACGCCTGCGAGCTCGTGGCCAACACCGTCGATGGCGTCGACCTCAACTGCGGATGGTAGGTAATGACCCTTTGACCCTCTGGAACGCCTCTGCGGCGCGCCTACTGCGGCTGACCGGGCCTTTCTCTCACCACTCCTCTCTCACGCCCTTCCTTAAGCCCGCAGAAGTGGGCTTACGATGAGGAGCTTGGCTGCTATCTGCTGCGGAAGCCCGAGATTGTACGAGACATGGTCAGAGCTGTCAAGGCGAGGCTCGGCGAAGACTTTTGCGTCAGCGTCAAGATCCGTGTCGATGAGGACTTGCAGTGAGTGACCAGCGCCACCTCACATGTCGCACGTTCCATGCTCATCTTTCACCTCATCTCTCTCCTTCTCCCTCACCCAGGCTGACAGACCAGCTGGTGCGGACAGCGCTCCACGCCGGCGCCTCGATCCTGACGATCCACGGACGCACGCGGCACCAGGCCTCGACGCATCCAGTCAATCTGGACGCGATCAAGTTCGCCGTCGACGCTGCCAACTCGTGCGGCTTCCGCACCTCGCGGGGTTCCAAGGGCGGCGCCGCAGCTCAGTTCGCCGATGGCGGAAGCGGAGGCCTGGTGCCGTGCGTGGCCAACGGCGACGTCTGGACGCTCGACGAGGCGATCGAATGGAGGCGCCGGACCGGTGCGAGCGGAGCCATGAGCGCGCGTGGCCTCCTCGCCAATCCGGTGAGTTTGACCTGCCTGCCGAGGATCGACCGGTAATGGCACGTGTCGTTGACGGATCTTTCTGCGTCTTGCCGCATCCCGATGCCCCCTCCGTTGTCATCGACCCAGGCGCTATTCGCTGGCTACGACAAGACGCCCGCCGAGGCAGTGTCGCTGTTCACGACGCTAGCCACCAACTGGAGCCTGCACACGGCCCTGACGCAGTGAGTCGACGACCTTTTCCTGCCCCACCCTCCTGCATCAAGAGGGACGCTGACCCGAACCTCGCCGCCGACCCACTCTCGCTCTCGATCTCGTGCCGTGTCGAACCAGCCGGCACCTGGCCTACATGCTCGAGTCGAGCTTCGAGAACCGCTCCGAGGCGATCCACTTCAACAGCCTCAACAGCGTGCCCGCCATCCACGACTGGCTGGGCGAAAACGGGTACCTGGGCGGATCCCTGGGGCGGACGCACTTTGACCCGCTGGCCGACTTTTTCGGCTACCGCCAGCCGTCCAAAATTGCCGACCCGCTGCGCATCGACGAGATGCTGCGAGGGTTCGGCGTCGTCGCTGTCTAGTGGGCTTCGCGGCGAACCGAAGACGATGACGGACGGAGAGGATGGAAGGGGACAGTGGAGTGTGACGTGCTATTCGGGGATACCTGAGAGATGCGGACCTGACGCTCGAATGGAAGGACGTTGGGGCTGGGTGGTATACAGTTCTAGAGCGGCCGTGGTGGGGGTTGGGCTTGATTGGATCTCGTGTGCTGTCCGGGCGCGAGTGAGGCCTACGAGACGGGCACAGACGAGAGAGAGTTGGACTCTGACGCTGCTGGTGCCGCCGCGGCCGGGTTGGTGGCAGAAGATGCGGCCTTGTCGTCCGAGTCCCTGCGATGTCAGGGGCACGGTTGAGCGTAAGTCAAACAAGTCCGGAATCAGCCATATGCGCTTCGGCGGCAGCTTGCCTGCCGGACCTCTCTCTCTCTCTCCTCCCCCTCTCTCTGCATCTGCATGCGCAACGGGGAACGCCCCACGGAACTCACCACTTGATGTTGAAGCGCGTGACTCTGGGCTTGCTGACGAGGACCTCTCTCCTGACCTTGGAGAGGTCGACCTGCTCCGGCGGGTTCTCGCGCAGCTCCTCGGTCTCGTAGGCGTTGTTGACGTAGTATCCGACGCGGATAAATTCGGCGTCCTTGTACGACGCGGTGAGGAGGATGACGGTGACGCCGAGCAGGTCCGAGGCCGGGATCTTGTCGGGCGAAGGTGCGGCCGCCTCAAACTCGAACGAGTTGACGCCGACGGGTACCGGCCCCACCATGCAGTTGTCGAGCTCCTGGTCGTACGACTCGGATTCGGCCGAGCCGACGTAGATTAGCTTCCACTCGATGTCTGGTACCGTCGATGAGGAAAGAGGGAGGAGGCGGGATCGAGCCAGGAGGAGCTTTCAGCAAGCTGGAATAAAAGGAAGAGCGCCCAGTCGATCGTCGACCCCACCGACCCGGGGAGGGACGAACTCACCATCTTCCAATGGTGCGATGCACTCGAATGTGATTTTGAAGATATACGGGTCTGCAAGAGCACAGAGACGGGGAGAGAGGGGGAGAAAGACGATCGCCATTAGTCACACCGAACAAACTTGCAGTTGTGGCAGCAATGCGCAGATGCGAGTGTGCGGGGGCGCCGGGACCGAGCACTGACCAGAGAACTTTGCCTCGGCGTTGAGGATGTCGATGGCTTGTAGGTGGACGATGGACATGGTCGGTTGTGCGAGCTGGCGGCGGCGGTGTCGTTGAGGGAAAGTGGTGGGGGTTGGGGTTGTGGTGGTGCGGCGCTGTGCGGCGCTGTGTGGTGCGGTGCGGTGCGGTGCGGTGCGGTGCTGGTGCTGGGTGTTGGACGAGAAGGATAGGCCGTCAAGGGTGCGGGTGTCTCGTCGGCTTGCCTGCTTGCTTGGCTTCTCGGCCCACCCCTTTGTGCAGGCTCAACTTCGACGGGGCCACAGGCTGGCGCAACGAAGGGCGCGGCGCGGCGCGGCGCAAAGTGCCGTTTCTCTACTCCAATCTGACCGACGACGGCGCTTCGGTGCGCGTCCATCTACGCGACGCGACTCACGGCACCGAATCAGTCAATCGGGAAATGGGATCGGGCCGGTCCTCGCCATTTCTCGCCAGCTCCGCATCGACGTCATCGCCACCGCCCTCCCTGGGCTGTGTATCCGACAGATGAACACAGCCACACGCTTTCGCCTCGGTTTGACGAGATGATGATGGTGATCAAGAATCGACGACAACGCAACACCGTACCGACCGACGTGCCGACCGACTGACCGTTCGGCGTCCGGGGCGAAGCTACGGGGTTATGGTGGCGATCCGGTGGTGGCTTTTCCCGGCGGCGTTTGCTTTTGGCACCCCGCGAGGCCAGGCCAGGCACAGCAAGCCAACAGGTAGGCAGGTCGACGTTGAGCCCTGAACCCTAGGCTGGCCGTGCATAGCCTTCTGGCGTCGATGTCGCAGCCAGGCCAGCATAGGGCTGATGACACGAGCAGCGGGCTGAGCAGCAGCGCAGCGCAACGCAACGCAACGTGGGTGGAGCAATAATGGGGGTCGCGACCCGGCGGCAAGACGGGTTCAATGACCTCATTGTTGAGCTCTAAATTTGGCATCTCAGCGAGCAGCGCTGCCCCCCCGCCGCTACACGCTGCCGCCACCAGAATAGAAGTGGGCCACCCCCGCCCTGGCTTCGCATGACGACAACGACGGCCCCTCTCGTGAAGCCAGCTGAGCTGTCGTCTCAGAGTGTGACGCAGCAGCTTTGGCGTGAGCTGGTCGGTCGTTCCTGACGAGCTCGAGCAAAGGGACAGACAGACATATAAACCCAGCCTTTCGTCGCTTCCTCTAGCCGGTCAGACACCATCACACCATCCATCTTCCACCACCCTCTGCGCGACCCACTCACCACTGACGAACCAACCAAAACGACCGCCCATCATGGACAGCAAGGTTATCAAGAAGGAGGAGAAGATGCTGCACAAGCAGGAAAAGGCCGACGACAAGGCAGTGCACCAGGTGCGTCGCCTCCCTGCTCCTCTCTGCCCCTCGCGTGGCCTGTCTCGCTGACTCCATGATGCGCACTCACATGTTGGGGGGGCCCAATCTCGCACTGCACAGGCTGAAAAGGCGCTCAGCAAGGACACCAAGAAGGAGACGAAGCTGGTCAAGGAAAAGGAAAAGGCGCAAAAGGAGCTCGAAAAGAGCGTCAAGGCAGTGAGTTGCCACCTGTCCGTCGTTGGCCTCACCGGTGCTTGCCTGCTCACACCGATCCCTCATCCGCCTTGATCCTGGATACTGGGTCGCACCGCCGCGTAGGAGCACAAGACGCAGGCCAAGCTGGACAAGGCGACGACCAAGCACAACGAGTCGGTGCGACACATTGACGAGGCGCGGATGCGCATCAACAATGCCGAAAAGGCCCTCGCCCAGCACCACGGCCACCTCGAGGACACGCAGCACCGCGTCGAGCAGGCCCACCACGCAAAGGCCTCCAACGACCACATCCGCTCCGACAAAAAGAGCCAGCTCCTCTCGACGGCCGCCGTGTCCCACAACCCCATGGGCCAGAACGAACACGTTCAGCCCGTCGGCATCCACGGCGCCAATGGTACCGCCACCGGCACTGGCACCGGCGCAGGCATGACGAACGGCACCGTCGGTCAGGACCACCCCGCCACCTATGCCGCTACGCCCTCTCACCCTGCCACCAACCCCCAGCCCGCCTTCTAGGTGTGCGGCGGCCGAGTTCTCTGCGCCAAAGAGGCCGCAGCGGGCGGAGTCGTGCCCCTGGGCGCTGCTGGAGGAGAGGAAGACAAAACGGTCCCCTTCCACGACATCTTGATACCATCGGTCGCCGCACCGTTCCTTCCACGTTTTAGCCGCCTTCTCTGTATCTACTTAGGGCCTCCCACTTGTCCCGACATCCGTCAATTGATACCTCGCCCTCGTCCATCTCTGCACACCCGCGCCTGGATTGTCGATGATGCTCTATTGCGAATTATCGATGAAAGGCTACCGCAGGCGCTCATTGCGCCCTGCCCTTTCCCTTGGCCCTGGTCCGTGCCTCGGCTGCCGCGTCTTCATCGCTCGCCTTGGCCTTTCCCTTGCCCTTGCCGCCGGGCGAGGGAGATGCGTCGCCCTCTCTCGTTCCGAGCCTCGAGTTACGGCCCGACGTTGCCTCGTCGCTCTGGCCGCTACCATTGACCCCGTTGGCCCCGCTGGCCCCGCTGGCTCCGCTGCCATTCGCTGGGGTGGCCGCGCTAGGCTTCCTGACCGGCAGCCTGCTGGGACTGCTCGGCTTGCCGCCCTGGTGCTGCTGCTGCGGCGACGACGGAGATGGCGTCGACAGCCTCCTCTCCCTCTCCTTTTCCTGCGGCAGCACCAGCGTCGGTCCCTGGACGTCGCCGCCCACCCTCTTTGCCAAGTCTGACCCGTCCATCTCGTCCTCCTTCTTGGGTGCCGAAAACTTGGCCTGGACCTGCCGGTAGTGCGCCATCTCCTGCTCGCTGACGCTGGGTACGAGCTCCCTCAGTGCGCCCTCAAAGTCCCTCCGGCCCACCTTGACCTCGATCTCGTCCTGCGTCGCCATCTCGGCCAGATAGTACTGCGGCGTCAGCGGGTGCGGGTGCGTCTTGGCGCCGGGCGTCGCATTGATCTTGGCGATCGTCTCGTCAATCTCGGACGCCTTGCGCGTCATGGCCTTGAGCATCGCATCCGAGCACAGGGCGTAAAAGTCGGCGCCCGTCAGGTTGAACGGACACTGCTCCGCAATCACCCCGAGGTCATCGAGGTCCGAGTCGAGCTTGAACTTGCGCGTCAGCGCCTGCAGGATGTTGAGCTGCGCAGCGTGCGTCTCGGACACCGAGAGGTAGAGCATCCGATCGAACCTGTTCGCACGAAACGAAAACAAGAGAACCATGGAGGCTCAGCACACTGTCGTCTCTCAGCTTCGTCGTGCACAATTGTCGATCCGTTGCCGACTCACCTTCCGGGACGCAGCAGCGCCGGGTCCAGCAGATCCGGTCGGTTGGTGGCGCCGATGACAAACACGTCCGTGCCCTCGGAACTGCCGGCCATGCCATCCAGCTCGGCCAGCAGCTGGCTGACGATCCTGTCCATGACGCCGCCCGAGTCGCCCTGATTGCCCCTCTTGGGCGCCACCGAGTCGAGCTCGTCAAAGAAGATGACGCAAGGCTTGGCATCCCTCGCCCGCTGGAAGACGCGGCGAACGTTGGCCTCGGACTCGCCGATGTACATGTTGAGCAGCTCCGGTCCTTTGACGGAAAAAAAGTTGAGCGAGCACGACGTCGCCACGGCCTTGGCCAGCAGCGTCTTGCCCGTTCCCGGCGGACCGTAGAGGAGGATGCCGCTGCGCTTCTTGAGGCCGTCGCTGAAGAGCTCAGGGTGCTCGAGGGGGAGCTGGATCGTGTCGAGGATGTCGCTCTTGACGCTCGCCAGGCCCCCAACGTCGTCCCAGGTGACGTTAGGGATCTTGGGAGCGCCGATGCTCTCGCTGTAGCTCGACCGCGCCTTGTTGAGAGCCTGCTCAAAGTCGGACCCCGTCAGAACCACGCCCGAGAGGACGAGGTCGACGTCGCGCACATCGTGGCGATCGCCGATCTCCTTGCGGATGCGAGAGACCGAGGCCAGCTTGGCGCGCGAGACAAGGTTGACCAGGTCGGCAGCGACCAGGGCAGCCGTCTGCGTGGCAAGGTTCTTGAGGTCGACGTCCGGGCTCAGCGCCACCCGGTCGAGGGCAATCTGCAGCATCTGCAGTCGCTCCGCCTCGTTCGGAGCCTGTACACAGGTGCACAACGGGGAGGTTCGATCGTTGATTGGCCCGGGTCAGCGGATCGCGTGCGTCGAATGAGGGAGAAAAGGAGGGGGCCGAAGATGCAAAAGACGGCGGCACTTACCTGGAAGGCGATCTCGTGCTTGAAGCATCCCAGCACCCCCGTCGGGCACTTGTCCGGGTCGCTCGTGGTGCCGAACACTGCGACGGGCATCGCAGGTGACGGACTCGCCACAGCCGCCCCATCGCCGCCAGCGTCGTTCTTGGCAGGCAAGCCCGAGGTCGCGGCGCGGAGCTCCTCGACACACTTCTGCAGGACCGTGGCCATGGCAGGCTCCTGGCCCGTTTCCAGCGCCTGGCTCTTTCGCGCCAGAGCGTCGATGTTGCGCAGCAGCAGAATGGCAGGTGCGCAGTCGGCCGCCTTGTCAAACCTGGCCCGCAGCGTGCCCTCGGTCCTCGCATCGGTGTCCGACACCAGGTCGAAGCAGTCGATCTCGATCAGCTGAACTCCGGTGGCCTGAGCGACCCAGCGCGCGACGGTCCGCTTGCCGCAGCCCCGGGCACCCTTGAGCAGCACCGAGAGGTGCAGCCCGAACCGGCCCGCCCCTGGCTGCAGCGTCGCGTTGAGCAGCTCGAGAACGGTGGCGTAGGCGCTTCCAACGGCGGTGAGCGGCGAGGGAGCAGACCGTACGGAGGCCGGGCTGATGTCGTCGGATGCCTCGGCCGAGTCCTCGGGCCGGTCTGGTGTGTCGGAGACGACGCCGAGCCAGCGGGCAGAGTCGGCCACTCGGCACTTCTCCACGCCAGTCTGCACCATCTTGGTCACGTTGGGGTCCACCACGCATCCCAGCTTGCCCGCCTGCGACCGGAGCGCGATCGAAGCCTCGTCCTCATGCTTGCCGCCATGGCCATTGGCCGTCGAGGGCTTGGCCGGAACGATGAGCTCGCTGGTGAGCGTGGTAATTTTGAAGTGCACGACGGCCGTCTTCTGCGGCGCAGCGGTGCCAGGCAGCCTGCAGAGGTCGACGGTGAGCCGGTATCGCAGCACGTCAGTCGGGCTCTCCAAGGTCTCAAAGAGTGACAAATCGCCCAGTGGCGCACGCACCTGAGTTCGTGAATGTCCTCCATGGCCGCATCCGAGGCGGCTGCCTGGTCCCCCTCTTTGCGCACGAAGCGCGCCTTGCCAGCCTCGATGGCGACCGCAATGACGTCGCCCTGCTTGCAGATCCGCTGCCGTCCTTCGAAGTACGTCCTCAGCGCCTCCAAGAAGAGGCCCTGATAGGCTCGGTCGACGCTGAAGGGGCTCGCCACCCGCGCAATGGTGAGGCTATCCGCAAAGGGGACAGGTATCGGGCTCGTCTTGGCCACAGGAGGCCGCGGCTCGCCTCCGCTACTGGGCGCTCGTGCCCCGAGCGGTCGCAGGGTCATGGTGGTCTGGCCGGCTGGGGATGGGCTGAAGGCCGAGTCGGAGAGGTTCTGGCGCAGCATCGGAGACATCCAGGCTGACGGCGTGCGCGCCGAGGAGCCGCCGGATGCATGGGGCAGGTTTGCGCCGCTGAACAGGCGCACGAGCCTGGCCTGGTCGGGCCCGACCAGTTCTGCAATGGCCCAGTCGCCGTTGAAGGCACCGATGGCCGCTAGGTCCCTCTCGCTAAGGACGACGGCGTCCTCATCGTCGATCTCGTCGACCTCGCCGCCGTCGCGGCCGTCACCGACCTGGGCGTGCTTCCGGTACTCGGCGATGGCGCCTTGCAAGATGCCGTGATCCGACAGCTCGCGAACGCGGCACACCTTCTTCTTCTTGGCGGACACGTCGGATTTGCGAGGTGAGGGTCTGCCGGCGACCTGCTGCTGGTGCGATACCAGCCCAAGAGGCGATGAGAGGAAGGCCTCTGCGGCATCAGAGGTGAAATCCTGCAGTATGGACTGGGCGAGATAGGACTCGTCTATGGAGAGAGCGTCGCTGTCGTCGTCGTCGGCGTCTGCCATGTCGGAAGAGGCAGTCGTAGTGGCCAGGTCGGACGTCGAGGATATGGTAAGGTCACCATTGGCGGCCCCGTCGGCGTCGAGGCTGTCGTCGTCGTCGTCCAACGTGACGAGGACCTGGGTAGACCGAGCATCGAAGCGGCCCTGAAGCACGGGCTCAGTCATGACGACGCGGAGCGAGAGAAAAGCGCTGTCGAGGCGGAGGCGCAGCAGATCGCCCTGATGGAGGATGCGGCCGTCGAGCTGACCGACGACGGCATCCTGGGAGGCGTTTGCCAGGTCGAAGCCAGACTCGGAGGTGGCCGCCAGGTAGGCAACGGACAGGTCGATGGGCGCATGGCGCTGGATGGCGAGACGGTGGTTCTCTCTGCTGCGGGCCGAGAGGCGGCCCAGGCCTAGGGCATTGGCGACCTCAGCGGGGAGCTTGGCGTGGTGTTCCTGCTGAGGCGTCGCGGGGAGGAGGATAAGGGAAAAGGTGTCAGTCGATGGGTACGATGGTTGGCCTTGGCTGCTGCGAGCTGGCGCTCACCCCTTGCGTGGAGTCAGCATCTTGCTGCGCCCAGCACGTGAGGGCTGGAAGCGCAGGTGCTGAGCCGAGCCTTGAGCGGCTTCGACCGGCGGATGCAATCGAGATGGCGATGGACGGCGTGGGCTCATCCGGGCGGCCAGCCGAAGATGCGGGGGCAGCGGATGCGAGCTTTTGCCAGAGGGGGGACGAGATGAGCACGGGCTGCTGCTTGTGGCTTTGCTGCTGCCGGCCTGGCTGCGTAAGGTCGTGGCTCGACTCGGCGTTGAGGATGTGCCAGGTGACCGAGGTCGAAGCGGGTGACGCTGCCGGTCGGCCTTGGGCTATGCTTGCGGCTGCCATGGCCGGCGGTTCTGCGCAGCTATCCGACAGAGGGGCGACGAAGGATGAAGCAATCGAGAGGACCACGAGGTAAGATCGTTGGAGGAGGTGGTGGATGAAAGGGTGATGGCGAGGGAGGGGACGTCGAGAACGGAGGATCGTCGGAAGAAGCCAGCAAGCGGTTGGCCCTTTGGCGGGGCAGCTCTGCGCTGCGCTGCGCTGCGCTGATTCCAACCGACGCACCGGTCAGAGAGCCACAAGAGGCGGCCGGCTGTGAAAGCCGAGGCCGAGCCGGTCAGGGCCCCGTCGTGGCTCCCTCAAAGCCTGCCTGCAGCTCTGGTCTCCATTTCTCGCACGATTAAAATCAAACGGCGTTGTAGGTCGGCCCGAGCGTCTAGTTACCCCGCACTTTTGGCGCTGCCTGCCCTCGGCTCGGCCCGCAGAAGCTCGAGGGACGTGAAATTGTCCGATGCTGCTGCAGCTGCAGCTTGGGCGGGGCCACTCGTCAACCCCCCCCGCCTCCACCACAGCGGGCCAGAGGCAGCCAAAGAGATGAAGGCCCAGGGCGGGCAGGGTCAGCAGGCCGCCCTTTCTCTCCCCCCCAACGGTCCAGCCAGCCCGGGTCACCCGACCCTCGACCACCTCTTCTACCAGCAGCTTAGCCGGCCTGCCTCTCTGCCTCGCCGCCTGCCCGCTTAGCCCAGCCCAGCCCAGCCCAGCCTAGCCCCACCTTATCTTTGCTCGTCACCTCCCAATCTGCTGCAGAGAGAGCACGAGCGAGCACACAAGCAAGCCTGCCTGGCTCCCGTCGTTGCAGCTGCCGTCTAGCCTTGCTTGGGGCCTTCGTGTCTGCCTGCCTGCTTGTGTGCCGGATCTGGCAACAGGCAGGCTCGAGGGCGCCGACCTGCGTACGCCATCGCCGGCGCTGCGGGCGGCTTCCTCTTGCTGGCCTCTGCTTCAGCTCCAGCGATGCTGCCGTTGCGGCTCCTTTGTTGGGTCGCAGCGGTCCTGCCTTGGCCTAGCCTGGCTTGGCTTCTCGTCACACGGGCCACGCCGCCTGGCAACTTGGTGCACCTCAGTCCCGCCCGCCCGCCAGCCTACCGTACCTAGCATGGCCAGCTTCGCCTGGCCTGGCCTGGCCTGGGCCGTCTTTGAGGCGACCTGCGATATAAAGACCCACCTGGACTCCAGCGTCCGACGACCTCCCTCTGGCTCCCCACCACCGACGACTCTCTCGCCTGTCCTTTGCCTCTCCTGCGCTCCAGCATCACCACCGACCGACGGCCACCGACCGCCTCGATCTGCAAGACCCATCGACCTCAGCAGGCCATCAGCTTGCCAACGCAGAAGCCACCTCAGACCACGCCCAAAAGCCCCTTCCTATTCGCCCAAGATGGACGCCCTCGCCGGTCACCCCAAAGCCAGTGAGTACCGCCCCGCGCTGGCCGGCCTTTCGCTGCGATGGCCGCTCGAGTCTCCTCGCTCACACCGCCCTCCTCACGACCTGCCCGTGATGGCCCTGATGCGTCTTTGCCAGTCCGCATCGCCGGCCGCCGCATGAGCCAGAGCGGCAACAACCCGATCAAGTCGCCCAACGCCGCCAAGGGGTGAGTCGCCGTTGCGGAGCATGATATTCTCGTCTCGTTTCAGCGTCGTCGGCCTCGTGCTAAGCCCACGAACCTCCCGCCCTGTCCGACCTCCCCCGCCGCGCTCGCTCAGCCCCACCCCCTCGACCTCTCCAGAGGACCACGTCGACGACATACACATGCGGACGCCCGCCGACTATCCTCGACCAAAGGACCCCAACGAGGCCGAGGAGCATCAGCAGCAGCAGCAGCCGCCCCTCGACGACGACGAGTCCAACAAGGACCGACGCCGCAAGAGGGAAGACGGCCGCAAAAAGGGCATGAGCTCCGAGGAGGCCAGGCTGCGCAAGATGGAGGCCCCCGCCGTCCTCGGCAAGGGTGGCCCTGGCAGGAGGATGAGCGGATCCACCGCCGGCGTGCGCATCTCGCAGCCTGCCGGAAAGATGATGTCCTGAGTCGGCCAAGGACCGTCCTGAACGCACACCGGCGCGGCGCGACAGGGCGTGAATCGACCGTTGATCCGTCGCCCACAACGCGCCCCTCCGACCGCAGGAAGCGTGCTGACCACCAGTGATATCCAACGAGCTCGTCCCTGCTTGGCCAGCTGCCGCCTCTTCCGCCCTTCTCCTCCCTCTCCGTCCGTCGCATTGTACCAACGCAGACCCTAGTCCAGATGAAAGCAAAGCACCAGCCCGACTGTATAACTTCTCTATTGAACGCACGCCCTATTATTGAATCCATGTCTTCCAGCAGCGAAGGCGAGCCTTGACGGGCTGAATGGCCAACGAGGGCGATGAACGATCCGTACCTGCTGCTACACACAGCCTGCTCTTCAGATCGGCTCGCGAGGAAGAGAGAAGACTGGATGCGATCCTCGACCTCGACAGACCAAGCTCGAGGATTATCAAGAGCAGCGCAGCGAAAGAAGAGAAGATCGAGGCGGTCGGGCCGGATCGGCCCCTTCGTGCGCGGTCTAGCAGCTCAGCTCCGTCTCAACCGCCGCCATGCTGTTTCCTCATTTCCGTGCCCGCTCACCCGCCCATACTCTGCCCGGATTGACACGATGACGGCAAAGCCAAACGAGAGCAGAGGTTGCAGAGTAGGTGTCGTGGCGATGACCTTTGGTCTACCTGGCTTGCTTTCGTCAAGATGCCAGGCCGAACGAGGTCCTCCAGGGAGCCAAAAAAGTTGCGAGCTTCGGGGGGCTCAGCTGCAGGGACGATGTTCGGCTGGCTCGCTTGCTGCCAAACATCGCCCTACCTGACCCTAAGCAAGGCTGGCCTAGGCCCTGGCCTATCCATCCAGCGCGCCCGCCTTTTCATGCCGGCCAGCAGGCGGGCAATTTAGGCGGGCGGTCGGTCAGGCGGGCGGTCGGTCGGTTGGTTGGTCGGTCGGGCGGAGAGGCTTTGCCTGGCCTGGCACGCACCGGCAGTTGGCCAGAGGAAGCTCGTTCAACAGCCCGAACCGCGCGCCATCAGAAGAGATCAGAGAAGAGAGAGGCAGGGAGAGGCCGAGACCGTACCGTACGTACCGCTCTCGACGCCACCATCCACCTCGTCTCATCCGTCAGTCGGATCATGGTGACTGTAACCAGCTGTCGGAGCTGGAGGCAGGTTGCTCGCCATGTCAGAGAGGGGGCCTGCTGAACACGAAGAGCGAGGTCGAAAGAGGAAAGGTGAGGCGAGGCTTTTCCACCTAGACGACCGCCGCGCAGCCTCTCCTAGCCCTGAGCTTGCAAGCTTGCTCTTCGATCTTCCCTTTTCGAGGAAGGCCGAGCGGATCAGGGTCCAGCCTCGACGAACGAACGCAACATCGTCGCCTCACGAAGGGATGGATGGGACAAAGAGCAGCCGTGGAACGAGGCGGCGGCGCCACCGGCGAGGCGAAGGCGCCAGGCCGAGGGAGGGTCGGCCGACCGGCCACGACGGAACGCGAAGAAAACTTCCGTTCAGGGGTCGGAAGGGGACGTACGGTCACGGACCCCCGCTGCACCCATATGGCAGGCATGCCCTAGCCTCTTGGCCGCGGCATCGAGAGCGACATCTCGCCGCCATCGAGGCCGGCTCCAAACGCACAGTTCCCCCTGAATACCCTCGAATCGCCATATGGATGCCCCTCGCCATCCTGCTGAAGCATCGAGGGGCCGGGATCGGGTTCCGGTCCTCGTGCCCGGTCTTGCTGCGCCCAGGTGTGCCAGAAGAGCGGTTCAGGGGCTGGTCGACTGCGAGATGATGATGACTGGCGCCACCTTCTCCTGCCTCGCTCGGTCCATTCATCGGCGCCAGTCCAGTCGCCAAACGCAAGCACGCAAGCAAGGTGGGCAGGGGCCGCGCTCTAGCTAGCTAAAGAACGTTGTACGTACGTACTGGAGCGGACCCTCGACACCGGCAACGATGCCCCTTCCTAGCCTGGCTCGCTCGAAGAGGACGTACGATGATGAATCGCCCCTTGTTCTGGGACGGCAGCACGCACGGACGCGCGCTCCCACCTGGCGCTGAATAGGCCGAGGGCGAGGATCGAAACGAGGCAGAGATGGCGATCAATGCCAGGCAGAGCTAGTACGTAGCGACGGCGCTCGCCCTCGAAACGCGAGAGGCCAGGCGGTCGTCTGTGGTGCTCGCCGTCGCCGCCGCCTTCGTCGTCGTCCTCTTCGAGCCACACCTCCGCCGGCGGGTGGCAAGCAAGTAGTGTGGCGCGTGCGGTCACCATAGCAGCTCTTGGCTTTGGCCTGTCGTATGGACCGGTCAGTCGGTCACCGCTGGCAAGCGCCATTGCATGCCATCGAGCTTGGCTCCGAGTGCGATGAGGTGCTACACCCCGTACGTCCGTTGCCTGGCGGCGTCGGCGGTGTTGGCGGTGTTCAGACTGGACAGGGTCCTCGCCTGTTCGCCCCTGCCTGCCAGCCTGCCTGCCTCTGCTCTCCGCCTGTCCGCCTCCCCCCTGTCTCTGTGTTTCCATGATGGCAGGCGGCGCATGAGCAGCGCCCGCCGTGCCGAGGCGTGAGGTTGGTTGCTTGGTCGTTGGTGTTGGCTTGGCTGACCAGCAGGCAGGGGTCCAAGGCCGGCGGCGCTGCTGGCTTGGCCTGGGCTTCTGACCTCTCTCGCCTTCGGTCGCCCGGCCGGCCCAGCACGCGCAGGCAATTTTGGCCCAGCGCCCGCCCTGGCCGCCCGCCCGCCCTAGGCTCTCGCTCGCTCGGCGGCTCCCCTTTCCCCTGCATGTCGACCGGGCAAGCAAGCAAGCAACCAAGCAAGCCATAGGGCACCTCGGTCCACCCAGTTGTCCGCTCCATCTACACCATCCCCCCATCATCCACCATCCACCGCTCGTCGTCGTCGTCGCCACAATCATCGCATCCTCGGTCACCAGCATCACCTCGCCGTCATCGACTCTAACAGACCCAAGAACCGGCCTCGTCCGACTTTTGCCTCTTTCCTGACCGCGGTTAGACCCGCGGCTGGCTTCACGCTCGAAACACCCTCCGACGACCGGGAGCTGACCGGCTCGCAGCCTCGGCATCCTCTGCTGCGTCGGACCTTCCGCTTCCCTCACGAGCTTTCCGCCATCAAAAGATCGATAGCGCCCACGAGCATGGCAACGGAAAGGCTCTTGGCTCATCTCGACACCCCTGACGACCTCTAACGATAGTAGACGCGGCTAGACAGCAGCATCGTCGCCAAACCGGATTCGCATCCAGCACAGCCCAGCTCAAGACGTTTCGGTCCATCCCGGTTTCAAACGCTTCTTCGGCCCCATTCCGCCGTCATCGGCTCGACTCCGCCAGCTTGCCTGACGCCGGCCTCTTGTTCAGCCTCTGCTCTCCCTCTGCGCAGCGATCCAGCAAGATGTCCGGCGTCCAGTCGTCGATGTCGTTCCCCACCCTGCCGAAGTCTCCCGAGCTTCAGCAGGCCGAGTCTGGTCCTTCCACCTTCAGCCAAGCAGCGCTGCGGCAAGAGCCGCCTCGCAGTCGACCCTCGGCCGCCTCGCCCTCCGCCAGCGCCGTCTCGCTACCAGCGCGGCACTCGATCGACTCGAACTTGACCAGCGACACCCGCGACCCGTCGCAGCCTTCCTCGACATCAGCCTCGATAGGGTTCCCCACCGCCGGCGTGCGTCCGGCCTCGCGGGCGTCCGCCGCTTCGTCCCGTCCCTCGTCGGTGGCATCCAGCTCCTCGACCCGCGCATCGTCCCATGTCCCCGGCCAGCTGGCGGCGTGTCCGGGCATCCTCAGCCCTGGGCTCGCATCCGCGCTGGGTCTAGGCTCGTCGCTCCAGGCGGCGCCGGACGGCAGTCCGATGGTGCGCAGGGAAAGCACCGGCTCCGGCCAGCACCGCAGGGTGCGGGCCCAGAGCACCCAGGGCCCAGGCTCGGGCATCCGGCGCCCCTCGCTCCCCGTCGTGCCCAGTATGCACCACCGCATGAGCGTGGCCAGCGTGTCCAGCTTCGAGAGTCTGCCAGAGGACGAGATCGTCCACGGCTTTGCACTCACCTCCGGCTCCGGCTCCGGACCCAGCAGCCTCGCCAAGGCTCGCCACAGCAGCTACGAGCGGTCGACGCCAGCGGGCAAGCACTCCGTCAACTTGGCATCGCCCACCTCGACTTCGGCCGCAGCGAGGGCCGAAGCGCGATCTCCCAGCCCCTCGTCGACCGCGGCCTTCTCTTCCTCCATCCCAAGCCCATCGAAGCTCTCGCAACAGCTCGACGCGGCCTGCTCGCTGCACGACCGTGAAGCTTCGACCGATTCCTCGACGTCGGCATCCAGCATGTCGTCCCGTCCCGGTATCCTCAAGCGATCGGCCACCGAACCGTCGCAAAAGTTTGACCTGGTGCAGATGCTCTCGCGCCGCAAGAACGCTGTCATGGAGCTGCTCGATTCCGAGAGGAGCTTCATGTCGAGCCTCGAGCTGATCGATGCCGAGTACTACCAGCCGTTGAAGGCATCGCTCGGCGGCGGCGGCGGCGGCGGCGGTTCCAGCGGTAACGCCTCGCCGACCCTGGCCTCCTCTGGCGCCGCGCCCATTCTCGAACGCAAGGCCCTCGCCGAGATCTTTTCCAACTTCTCCGACATTCTGCACCTCAGCAAGGAGCTCCTGGCGCGGCTCGAGGCGCGGCTCGGCAGCGCTGCTGGTAGCGGGTCTCGGATCCTCGCAAGGCCATCCGGATCAGATGCATCCCGAACAACGGCGGCCAACAATAGACCTTGGGATCCGGCACTCGACACGATTGGCGACATCCTGGTGCCCCTGGCGCCCTTCATGAAGATGTACAGCCTCTACGTCAAGAACTTCAGCAGCGCGCTGCAGCGGATCGAGGCCGAACGCAAGGCGAACGAGGCATTCGCTTCGTTCCTCAAGGAGACCGAGCAGCGCAGGCAGGCCAAGGAGGCGTCCAGCAGCGCTGCGACCGGCCGAAAGGCTTTCGGCTTCGGCCTCGGCTTTCAGGCGCACCTGCTCACCATCGTCCAGCGCATTCCGCGCTACAAGCTGCTCGTCGATGATCTGATCAAATCGACGCCCGAGTCGCACGTCGATCGGCCCGATCTGGTCAAGGCGGGCCAGACCATCGAGCAAGTGGCTTCCTACATCAACGAGAACGTCCGACAGCACGAGATGGTACTGATGATGCTGTCGCTGCAGCGCTCGCTCCAAGGCCTGACGGAGCCGCTGGTGGTGCCCGGCCGCTCGCTCGTTAAGCGGGGCACGCTGATGAAGACATGCCGACGCAACGTCCAGCCCCGCGAGTTCTTCCTCTTCACCGACTGCATCATCTACGCCAGCCCCATCAGCGGCGGGATCGAGTCGGCCTCGGCGGCATGGCTGGCGCTGGCGCAAAAGGGCGGGCTGTACGGCGCCGCAGCAAACGAACCGCCAGCGCAGGCGCTCGCATCACCCGGCGACGCGACCGCAGCCATCGAGTCGATTGTGCCCCGCGCGCGGCTGCGCACCATTTCGGGCCCCGAGCCCTACACGCCACTGGCGGGCGCCATCTTTTCGCTGGCCGGCCACCAGCTCCAGTTCCGGGACAAGTTTCCGCTGCGCGACTGCACCGTCGTCAGCGTCGACGACCACTCTCTCCACGGCCTGCGGTACTGCTTCGAGATCCGGACGCCCGGAAAGAGCTTCGCCGTCTACGCAGAGACCTCGGCGAGCAAGGAGGCCTGGGTTGCCGCGATCCGAGAGGCCAAGGCGGATCACATGTCGGCGCGGAGGACGCTGCGTGCTGACGAGGACTCGATCGAGGCGAAGCGGGACAAGCGCCGGTCGCAGCACCGCATCGAGCTTCAGGTCACATCCAGCCGCCGGCTGTCGACGCAGAGCCTTGGCCAGTACATTGGCCTTTCGGCCGCTCCCTCGTCGATCCCCGAAGCCGAGTCGGAATCCGCCGACGTCGACGTCGATGTCGATGGCGACGCCCTGGCCGTCGCTCGCACCAGGACCGAGTCGGCGCCCAACATCCTCCGGCCCCCGTCGTTCCCGACGTTTCCTTCCAACGCCACGGGCATGTCGCTGGCTACGCTCCTCTCGCCGAGCGCCCACGCGACGCCGACCAAGCCGCTGCGCGTGCTCGAGGACTACAATGCGCCCGTCTGGGTGCCCGACAACCGCGCCGAGAAGTGCGCGTGCTGCTCAGAGGCGTTTGGTATGTGGCGACGCAAGCACCATTGCCGCCTGTGCGGCCAGGTGGTCTGCTGGAACTGCAGCCAGCGGTCGTTCCTGATCCCGGCGTACCAGGACGACGAGGACGACAAGCCGGCGCGGGCCTGCGACACCTGCTACGACTCCGTCTTCCCTCCCGATTCGCCAGAGCAGACGGCCATGGCGCTGGATGTGGCTGAGCCGGCAGCGGCCGCGGCGGAACCACTTCCGACGTCATCGACGAGGCAGACGGTCACCGGCGTCAATATGGCTGCGGCGCCGTCCAACGACGGCAGCGTCAGCGGCAGGAGCGGCTCGAGCAGCGGCCTGTTTGACTCGGACACCTCGCCTGGCTCGCCGGCGACACCGGCGGGCGACATTTCGCCGCACTTTGCCCAGCACCCCGGCCGCTCGCCGCTCGGATCTCCGCCCTCGAGCGCGACGATGCGCCCGGAGCTTTCGTTCACCGACAAGGCGATGGTTGGGCGGCCCAAGTCGCTGCGGTTCGACAACCTGCCGCAGCCGGTGTTTGCGCCCGATGCCCGGTCGTACGGCGGCTCTCCTCCCAAGGTGCCTGCCCGGTCCAAGTCGATTAGCGGAGGTGCGCCGCGGATGCCCGAACGCAGCTCGGCCGCCGAGGCGCAGCTGTTCCAGGCGGCGCTGCACCCCCAGGTGCAGGCGGCGACATCGGGCACGGGCACCTTCCGGCTGGTGACGCCGAGGTTGACGACGCCCGACTCGGAGGTGCCGCCCAACGAGTTTGGCAGGAGAAGTTCGCATCCGCCGTCGATGATGGGCGGCGTCTCGTCCTACTTTGGCAACGCCGAGGGTGCGACCGGGACCGAAGGCACGGGCACCACCTCTGCAGCGTCGTCTGCTGCCGCCGGGTCCGCCCCGTGCCTCGAGGATGCCGCCAACGTGGGCAAGGGATCAGAGCCTTTCAAGCCTTCGATGATCCACGGGCCCAACGGCATCCCGGCGCACCTACGGGCGCAGCGGAAGCGTCCGATGAGCGCGGCCGACCGACTGAGCACCTTTTACGGCGCCAACCTGGCCCTCTCGAGCGCGAGCGAGGCGAGGAAGAAGTCGCAGTAGCCAAAGAGGACGTCGGCGCTGGACGGGTCGCTTTGGGCTCGATTCGCGCGCATACCTCGCCGCTCTGTTTTCGCTCACAGCCTGATCTTCTCGTCGACCCTCTTTCCAGCATACACGCAACAGTCCGCGGACAGTCTTGATTGCATCCCGTGGCTCGTTTACCCGCTTGCTCGCCCGCCCGCCCGCCTTGCTCGTGCTGAGCTCCGGGCGCGATGTACTCTCCTCGCTGGACCCCGCCAGTGTCGGTTTGCGCCCAACTGTCGGATCGGCCGCATTTCACGCCCCGTCTCGGCCCAGGCCGTCCGTCCACCACCCCCGTTCCTTGATATCCCCTCGATACCCCCACCCGAGTCCGTGCCGGACTCCCAAACGTATTGCCTCCGTATCTCCCACATCGAACCAGTGCGCGTATAATCTTGATATCCCCTCGCTTGCTACCTGGCTCACGTCGAAGGTGCTGCTTTCCCGACAGTAGTGGCTCGGGCAAAGGAACGTCGGGCTCTTGTCCGAAAGGCCGTCGGTGTGGAGGGAGGGGGCGGGGGGCATGGCGGAACCCGCGGCGCTCGTCAAGGCGGCGTGGGCTAGAGCCTTGCCGAACTCGAGACGAGACGTCGGCGCGGGTCTACCGGCGCCCTGCCTGGCCAGGCCTAGCCAGACGAGGGATGGAAGCGGCTGTTGGACGCGAAGGCTCGCCGCGGGTGTCGCCGTGCTTGTTGCTGACTGAAGAGATGAGAAGCGATGGGTTCCCGCGCTCCCCCGCTCCCCCGCCCGCCCGCTCTCCCCATCGGACGGATGTGGAGGTTGTCCACGAGCGCCAAACGACGACGCGGGGCGTGGGGGGACGCATGCCTTTGCCGGGCCTGGCCTGCTTTGGGAGCGTGGCCGACAAGAAGGGGTGACGCATGCAACGACCAGCTCCCCTGCCAGACCTAGCCTGCTGGGCATGAGCTGCTCGGCCCTCGCTCCGTCTCGAAGGCGACCATCCATCCATCCATCCGTCCGTCCACCCGTTCTTCTCAGTCTTGCGTCCGAAGATCTTCCAGCAACCTCTGCCCCCTCTCCCGCACTGCGATACCACCCAAACTCAACCCCCAGCGCACCTCGGATCGACGCAGAAAAAGGCACATCATGGTCACGACTCGACGACAGCAGAACCAGGCCCAGGCCCAGGCCCACGACGACTCGACCGCCGCCGCCGCCGAGTCCAAGGCCGCTTCGCACTCCAAAAAGGTGGATGAGGCCGACGCCGACGCCGACGCCGACGACGAGGACAAGACCCAGGCCGGCTCGAAGCGCAAGGCCGCTCCCTCTGACCGCGACGGCAAAGAGGATGCAAAGGACCAGCAGGACGCACAGGACGACACCGACGGCAAGGGCAACGACAGGGGCGCGGGCGCGGCCGGGTCGTCTGCTAAATCGCGCAAGGTCGAGAGCACCATCGACGAGCAGCAGGCGCACCTCGCGCGCTACCACGACGCCCTCTCCTGGCTGCACTCGGACGAGGCCTGGCACCTGTCCAACCCGCCCGTCGAGCAGAGCGGCAAGGGCGAAATCGACGTGGCCGCCGCCGGTGGTGCCGATGAGGGCGCCACGCGCCAGCCGCCCGCCAAGGGCAGCGGGCACAACAAGCGCGCCGACATGGTCGACGACGGGCGCCACCTGCGCTACCCCAACTCGAACCTCACCCCCTTCCAGGCGCTGCTGTGCTCCGTCATGCTCTCCAAGCCCATCTCGCACCGCCTCGGCATCCGCGCCATCGAGACGATGCTCAACAAGCCTTTCCTCTTCCGCACCGTCCGCGACCTCAAAGAGGCCGGCGTAGAGGGCAGGAGAGAGGCGCTGTGGGAGGCCAGGACGCAGCACAAGGAAAAGACGGCCGAGCAGCTCGGCGACCTCGTCGACGGCCTCGTGCACCTCTGCGGCGGAGACGAGGCAAAGGCCGACGAGATGAAGCCCATCCTCGAAAAGGCCATCGAGGCGGCAGCCGGGGAAGGAGGAGCCAAGGACGTCGACTCGTTCAAGCTGGCCGACGAGCTCAAAAAGACGCTCACCGAGAGCATCAAGGGCCTCGGACCAACGGGCTGCGACATCTTCCTGCGCAGGGTCCAGGTCGAGTGGCCCCAGCTCTTCCCCTTTGCCGACCGCAGGACGCTCAACGTCGCCGTACAGCTCGGCCTCATCGACCCAAACACCCTCGGCCAGGACGGCGACGACAAGGGCGTCCAGGCCGCCACGCGCGCCCTCGCCGAAAAGGTGGCCGAGCACGTCGGCTTCCCGCCCGAGCAGGCGCGCGACGCCGGTGAAGAGGCAGAGTGCGGACGGTGGTGGTTTGTCCGCACCCTCGACGTCCTCATCGGCCTCGACGTCGAAAAGCAGCTCGACGAGGCCAAGAAGCGCGCTGGCGTCAGCGGGAGCGGCGGCGATGCTGGAGCAAAGAAGGAAGAGTAGGCCGTGGTCTCGCATCGCAACGACCTGCATGGTCCTGTTCAGGAGAGGGCGACGAGAATGTGTCGAATCTGGCGAAGATGTCGAATTCAACAAGAGGATGTCGTGGTATGCGTTTGACAGAGAGCGGCGTGAGCGGGTAGGTGGCCACCGGGTGCGCCTAGAAGCGCTGGCCTCGCTGCTGCTGGCCCGAGTCGTAGTTGCGGCCCGAACCGCCTCGCTGCGGCGACCGCTCGCGTCGGTGGGCGTCCCTCGAGTCGCTGCGGTTGCGCATCGGCGACCTCTCGCGACTGTGGTCGCGCCCATAGCTGCCCGCATGTCCCCCTCCGCCCGTGGCGCCGCTCGATGGAGGACTTCCGCTCATGGGTCGGGAAGGCAGGCCCGCCGAGCCGGGCGGCTGCAGGCTCCCTCGAGGTTGGTCGCGGCGGTAGCCACCACCAGCGTTGCCGCCACCACCACCGCCACCACCGCCGCCTCGGCCTCCTTGGCTGCCCCATCCGACGCCGTTGCTGGCTCCTCCGTTGCTCATGCCTCCCATGCCCATGCCTCCCATTCCTCCGCCCATGCCGCTACCCATGCCCTGCATGCCCATGCCCATGCCGCCCATGCCCATGTCCATGCCCGCCATGCCGCCCATGCCGCCCAGGCTGGCCGTCATCTGCTGCCATGCCATCTGCGGGTTCCAGTTGGCTGACCCCCAGCCCATCTGCTGGTACATCCTCGCGATGGCCTGAGGGTCGAAGCCGCCGCCGCCGCCGCCGCCGCCG